TAACGGTAACTCCATTGAAATGATTTAAACTAAAGAAAAATGTAAGGAGTAGAAAGTACAGATATTTGTGTAAAAATGTAAGGAGTAGAAGTAAAAAGTCACCATAAAAATAAGTAGTAAAGTAAAGTAAAAATATCAGAAAAATCTACTTGAGTACAGTAACAAAGTATTTGTATACTTATAATCTCTGATTATAACTGTAATTTGCTTATTGAACAGGGTTTTAGCCACTTACGAAAAAAGCTGTACTCCGGAATCCAGTTGTCTTTCACCAATTTAGTAATTTAGGCTATGGCTATTAGCAGAGTTATTAATACCAACCAAATACATGTGCTTCTGTTCATTCGGATGCTTTTGAAAGAAGCGTGAATCCAACCTGAGTGATAAATTGTTCACTGTATAAAATGAACACAAAAGACCACGGGTTAAAATATGATGGTACCTTTATTAGCTACAATCACACAGTATTATATCTAATAACTAAGCAAAACACTGAGCAAAATTAAAGAAATAAAAGGGGAAGAGTCCCTGAAGTGATGTTCAAAGTTTAAGGCTTAATGCATTTTAAAGTGTCCTTTAATAGCAGCAGATGAAATGTGAATAACCCTGACGCAGAGATGTTAACTGCAGTCAAACAGTGAAGTTTGATTCAGATTATAGCGAAAAATTAATGACTCAGGAATTCCTTAAACTATGATGAGGCTGAAAGACCCGTTAGCTTAGCTGGCCCCAGGGGTTAGAAAAAGAGCAAAATGCTCTGACCTGGACATCTAGAAAGACTTTTGATTAAAACTGTTTCATTTGTGAATAAAGCGCAAACATGGATTAAATAGGGAAAATATTTACAATAAAATTTTCTGGGTTACAATAGTAACATTTAGGATTGGTGCTAAGGGGTGAGGACAAATTTTTTAAAGTTGTAGAGTTGCTGTTTTGTCAACATAATCCTACGTAGAAATATGTGAAGGAAAATGTAAAATGATGCTTTTATTACATTTCTGAACAGATTGTAATTAGGCTGAGGAATATTGAGGAATATTGTCAGCAGGCATTCAAAATGGCCCTTCCCAGTCAAACGGCCGCCGAATGGCAGCCCACTTCCCTCCAACTCCCAGCGAAATCTCCTCCAACTTCCAGCCTCTGAAGTTATCGCCTCTCGCATATTTTTTTCCACCCTTTGCGAATGCCGGCTTTTCAAATTGGCCTAATGCCAGTGAAAAAGTTTTTATAGCAAAGTTTAATTAAAAATGCTTTATATTCACCCGAGAACTGATTAATGATGTAAATGAAAAAAACTTTCCTTTTTGATAAAGCTTCTAGTTAGAGTGGCTCAGGTTAACCTGAGCTATCTCTATAGTTATGCTGCTATAGGCTTAGACTGCTGGAGGACATAGGGACCCCTTTTCATCATTCTGCTTAATTCTATATTCTCCCACTCTGCAGAATCTGTTAGTTCAATCTCTAACGTTCTGGTATCATATAAGAGAAGAGTCCAAATATAATCCCTCTCCTACTGTTCTTCAACTCTAAAAGCTAAAAATAATAAAATCCCTCAGATCAAGTGTTTATTTACTGCCCTTTTTCTTGTTTCCAGCAGGACTCCGACTTTGTGTGTGTGGAGTTTGATGAAACCAAGGTGAACATTGTGCTGAAGAAGATGGCCGACATCCAGGAGAGCATAGACAGAATAGTTCACCACACGTGAAAGAGCCTGGAAGAGTCAGAAGAGCGTTTTTACACCAGGCCGGGACGCTTTAAGAGATAAATGGTTGTCCTCAGTGGAATATTACCACTAAGTAAAGGTGTGAGGAACATAAAGGCTCATCTTTCATGTTAACCCTGTTTTACTCATGATCTAACAGGTTTGGAGCCGTTGTGGTTCATAATTTTTTTTTTTCCTCTGCCAGCTTCAAATGTTTCATGTAAATTATAGATCCTGTTTGTTGACCATCTGTTGGACTTCAGGACCTTTGGATTATTGATTAAAGCAAACATTACAATCAAGGTGATTTAATGTAGTTTAGGTGTTTCTCTCTATTGTGAGTAACTGGTTTTATAAAACATATTTTCATCATCTCAATAAAATACAAATGACAAAATATTTTGTATTTGAAAAACGTATTTTAAATACTTGTATTAGAAATACTGCCCATCCCTGTGCGCAAGCAGCCTCTCGGCGGCACTATAAAATAGTTTGAGATGCATACCTGGGGTTAAAAAGTTATTATTTGGTATAAGTTTAATTTTCAGGACAGGCACAGCCAGATTTGGGATTCGGGACAAAACCTTAGAATTTGGACTGTCACAAATTTTTCTGGAAATCTGGTCACCTTAAAAGTTA